CTCTTGCGGTTTTGAAAGACTCGTCTGTCTTTGATGCAATGTAGCATAACCTACTTGACGTTGAACGTAGAGCAGCAATCCTTGCCATTTGCATCACTTCTGGAGACACATTCAAATCAACATAACTGGGTGCAGAACCCTTCGCATCATTAGTCCACCTACTTTGAATCAAAGTCCCGGGCAAATATGTGTAGTCCAAGTGCTTCAAAATGTGAAGTTGATGGCGACACGGAAGTCCAACGGTCTCGAATTTTTTGCAGGAGCAAATTAGAGTTTTCGTACGAGAATCAAAACTAATTTCAAATTTCCTATTTTTTTCTGCGTACTTTGACAAATATAATGTTGACATTCATCTGATAAGGACTTAATCTCTGCCTCAATCCGGTAATGTCTCCCGTATAAGTTATCTTGGAACACGAAAAGATTCGCGGGTAAAAATCGCAGCGGCATGGCTTTCAAGGTCGACCAGTTTTGTGATCTGGAAGAGCTTCGTATGGGAACTTAAGTAATCCGCTTTCAACTCGTTCATACGCATTCTACTAATTCCATCTTCAATTGCACGAACAACATCTAAATATCTTCTTGTGTTTCAGTGCAATAGCTAGTGAAGCATTCATAGACTAGCACCTTTGTGTTGAGCGAATATTGGCAAAGAAATGACGGTTAGATGCTTGTGCCCATAAGTGTCGTGTATTCCCTTTCTCAATCACCCATGATGCTTTTGGACGTTGAATTCTGAAACAACCGAACGCCATTGAATATCAAATTCCTTGGTTGTCCACCAGGAAGCCATGCATTTTGAGAATGCTGCTGTAAACTTTGGGTCACCAATGTTAGCTTGTGCATTGCGAGAAAGATGCCAAGAACATAATTTGTGCTTAGCATAAGGGATAACAGATTTGATAGCCCTTGCATTGCCCCATCCCCTCGGTGACAACTGAATAGGTTTATTCATCATGGCTTCTAAAATATTCTGTAGCACCCACTCGAAAGATTGAGACGTCTCGTCAGCGATTATGGCAGTGGCAAACACAATTGTGTTATGGTGATGATTGACACCAACAATAGGCATAATTGGTCGACCATACAAATTATCTTTGTACGTTGTGTCGAACGCAATTACATCACCGAAGCATGTGTAATCCGATCTCGATGTAGAATCCGACCAAATAAGATTATACAATGCCCCCGATTCATCTACCGAGTATGTCATAAAAAACCCGGGATCATCATGTTTCTTATAATCAAAGTAGGCAATAAGCGCATTCACATCCCCATCGACGATTTCCTTTGCTTTACCTCTTTGAAGTGCATTGTAGAGGTCTTTATGTGTAAATCCAACATTATGATAGCCCCCTGCCTGCTGCGTTAAATAGTTCATTACTTGTGACGTGCCAACACCGACCTCTTTCAATATTGTTGCCTCATCGATATCAGCCTTACTTACAGCTCTATTAGAACGCATAAATGGTGTCATAGCAGGTGTGCACAATGCATGATTATGTTTCTGATCAGACTTACTTATAACCCACTGATCGTTTGTATTTGTTGTTGTAACTACGACTCTAGCCTTACATCTTGTTCTTGTGACTAGCGTATGAGCACTTGACGATCAACATATTGACTTTTGATACTCGAAACCCTTATTGGAACAACAAAAATTCTTGTGTCTTCACATTCCCTTCCACGTCAAGTCGTGTTGTTCCCTTACGTGCACTAAACCCATGTTCCCGTGCGAATCCCTTGTAAAAGTACCAAGCTTGATCACGTGAACAGAAGAGCTGACCAACTAATCTGTCAACATTATGTACTTCATGGCATTCCTCGGTTGGCTTAACATTGTCTACATTAGTATTATCCATGGCAAAAATTTTGTTATGCAAGTTCAGTGGTCCAGGAGTTGATGGAGATGTAAGCAAAGGTTCATTTTGAACATGTTTCAGTCGTGCTACTTTCAATAGGATGTGGTATTGGTAGTGGTAGTTAAAGGGTGGGTACAACATTAAATTCGCAGTACATATTTAGGTATGTACAATAACTACAAGTATATATTATCATTAAATTTAGGTATGTACAATAACTATATATTTAGGTATGTACAATAACTACATATTTAGGTATGTACATCTTTTGAGTGAGTTTTAAGATATTAATTTAGTAATTATAGGCGTCTAATGATTTATTTTTACGTTACGGTATTTATATTAAATTAAAAACAATAACATATATATTACATATTTATTATTATCTTTGGTTAATATTGTTTAATTTAAATACTAAATAATATTTTATAAAATATCAAAACAATCAAATAATTTTTTGTGCAAATGAAATTATTAAATTAATATTGTAGGTGGAAAACATGAAATACTATTAAAAAAAATTGAAACATAATTACATAACTTTAAAAAAGTATCGATCCTTTTTATAAAAGTATGAACACTTTCATATAATAGGTAAAAAATGATGGAAACATAATTACATAACTTTAAAAAAGTATCGATCCTTTTTATAAAAGTATGAACACTTTCAATATAATAGGTAAAATATGATGTAATAGGTAGCACTTATATAATGTAATAGGTAGCGTTATAATGTAATAGGTAGTGCTTTATGTAAAGTATCTATCATTTTACAAAAGTGTCTATACTTATTTCACTGTGGAAAACATTAATTTAAGGTTATCTTTTGAGTGAGTTTTAAGATATCAATTTAGTAATTATATGTATCTAATGATTTATTTTCTATGTTACGGTATATATTATCATTAAATTAAAAACAATAAACATATATATTACATATTTATTATTATCTTTGGTTAATATTGCTAAATTTAAATTTTAAATATTATTTTATAAAATATCAAAACAATCAAATAATTTTTTGTGCAAATGAAATTATTAAATTAATTTTGTAGGTGGAAAACATGAAACACTATTAAAAAAAATTGAAACATAAATTACATAACTTTAAAAAAGTATCGATCCTTTTTAAAAAGTATGGACACTTTCAATATAATATGTAAAATGTGATGTAATAGGTAGCGCTTATAATGTAATAGGTAGCGTTTATATAATGTAATAGGTAGTGCTTATATTGTAAAGTATCTATCCTTTTTATAAAAGTATCCATACTTTTTTCACTGTAGAAAACATTAATTTAAGGTTATCTTTTGAGTGAGTTTTAAGATATTAATTTAGTAATTATAGGAGTATAATGATTTATTTTTTACGTTACGATATATAGATTATTAAACTAAAACAATAAACATATATTACATATTTATTATTATCTTTGGTTAATATTGTTAAATTTAAATTCTAAAATATTATAAAATATCAAAACAATCAAATAATTTTTGTGCAATGAAATTATTAAATTAATATTGTAGGTGGAAACATGAAACACTATTAAAAAAAACATAAATTACATAACTTTAAAAAAAATATCGATTTTATATAAAAAGTATAGACACTTTCAATATATTATAATGTAATAGGTAAATTTGCAATGCTATCGGTAAATATACCGGTTTACTTATAAAATAGGTCAATATAAGCGCTAATATTCATTTATAAAGCGCTACTAGTATGTTATTATACTTTATAATATTTCCGATTAAATAATATAACATAACCGGTCTAAATTTTAACCAATCACTTATTTAACCGGTCACGCCGTATATTAACGTTTTTTAAGCGCGCCACCGCATAACTACCCATATGTATCTTTTGAAATAAAAATTTAAAATGGATTTGTTTTGTGTCGTGTCTGCTTGTGGGCAGGAGGTAGTGATAAGTGAAGTTGATGTTGTGGTTGTGGGTGTGGAAAATGAGTCTTCTTTTTTATTATTAAAATTAAAATTATCCTTGAATATGTATTGCCTTTGTAGTAATACTTCATTCTTAATCTCAAGCCTCTACTAAATGGCAGTGGCATCAATCTGAAGCATGTTTTGAAGGATGATCCTCCGTCCCATAAAATTCAAAAGAATCGTTACTCGTATCAATCCAAACAATTGGGTAGCTCCGCAAATGCTGGTTTTGGAGGACAGGGACAGGCCTCCTCTTTAACCTTTGCTTTGCCAGTAGCACAGCTTCACTAAGACAAATCATATTGTATTAGGAAACGGTTTTTTAAAATTTTATAAAAGACAAATATAAAAAATAATATTATTAATAAAAAGTATATATATATATATATAATATTGTTATTAATTCATATTATAAAAAAACCCTTAGAGAAAACTATCTAAATGTGGAGTGTAGTAATTTTCTAAAAAAAGAAAGTAATAAAAGTAAACAAAGTTCCTAAAAGAAAGGGTCCAGAATTTCATCATTCTTCTCTTCTGAATCCAAACTGTTGAATTCGTCAAACAAACCCCACTATTTATCTAAACACAAGTTTTCAGAAATTTCAAGCCCAAATTATCAATAAAACACCATAACTTTGGTGCCAAAAACACCTTATACAATTTAAAAATAAAACCCTAAACTTTCTTTTCCTTTCCTTTTTTTATTCTTAAAATAAAAAACAAAACAAAAAAGGGGAAAAACAAAACCAAGAAAAAATTACTACTAAAAGCAAAGATTATATTACCAACAAAAGAAATTACTTCATTAAAGATTTGCATTTTGCTGTTTCAAGCCGGAATCAGGTTCCTTTTCCGTTTCTGACAACACCAGTTCCCTTGTTTTTTTTTTTTCTGTTTTAATATTATGAAACTGAAGATCTTGTCATAGACTTGATTTCGTGTCATCACGTTGTTGTGTTCTGATAATTAATGCAGGTCACCGGTTAAGGTGATGCTTATAAAAAGAACAATGGTACATGCTACATTATTTTATCTATAATTTTTCATCGTATGAGAATTGAAGGATTGGTATTTAGATTATTTTGAGTTATTAGACATAAACCAATTTATATTTAAGCAACACATTGACCCGAATCTGGTGGTTTTTTAATTTGTGTAACCCCTTTGTTTTAAATCAGCCGCTAATATGGCAGAGGAGGCAAGAGGAACGTTTACAGTGGACGATGCTCTTATGACCTTGGGGTTTGGGAAATACCAATTTTGTGTGCTTGGTTATGCGGCACTGGCATGGGTCTCAGAAGCCATGGAAATGATGCTTCTGTCGTTCATAGGCCCAGTAGTCCAAAGATTATGGCATCTTTCTGCCAAACAACAAAGCTTAATAACCAGTGTGGTTTTCATCGGTATGCTAATAGGAGCGTATTCCTGGGGTGTAGTCGCAGATAAATATGGAAGAAGGTGGGGTTCTATCCCTCTCTTCTCTTGTCATTGTGTTTTCCTTATTTACACCGCTGCACCAGTGTTTGAAAAATATTGTATCCCCCCCTCAGGAAGGGTTTCCTTATGACTGCACTAGTTACTACTTTGGCTGGCTTTGCAAGTGCCTTTTCACCAAATTATGCGTCTTTGCTGGTTTTCCGTTGCGTGGTTGGTATCGGGTTAGGGGGTGGGCCGGTCCTTTGCTCTTGGTTGCTCGAGTTCATCCCCCCGCCGAATCGAGGCACATGGATGGTTGTTTTCCAAGCATTTTGGACCGTCGGCGCGGTGTTTGAAGCCTCCATCGCTTGGATTGTGATGCCAAGATTGGGTTGGAGATGGCTGCTCGGTTTCTCTTCGATCCCTTCGTTCGGTCTCCTTGCGTTCTATTTTATTACACCCGAGTCGCCAAGGTACCTCTGCTTGAACGGTAGGACAAAGGAGGCGATGATTATTTTGGAAAGAATAGCGGAAGTCAATGGCACAAAAGTGCCTCTTGGAACACTTGTTTCTGAAGACTATCAAGCTGGCTTGGATGAAGATGAAACTCCTGCAAAGCCTGAACAAGGACCCTTCTCAACAATTTTAAAGCTTCTTTCACGAGAACTAATTAGGCCAACCCTGCTGTTGTGGGCAGTGTTCTTCGGAAATTCGTTTAATTATTACGGACTGGTACTACTCACTACCGAGTTAAACACAGGCCGCTCTAGGTGTGCCGGACACAAAACCGAATCCAAAATATCTGAAGATGTTAACTACAAAGATGTCTTCATCACTACTTTTGCAGGTTCATTGATTTTCACTGATACATAGTTTCATCTGCTTGTAATAATAAAAAAAAATACGCTCGTAAAGCTTTGATTCGGTTGCTGTAGAATTTCCGGGGCTCATCATAGTAGCGCTTACAATAGACCGAGTCGGTCGAAGGCTTTCAATGGCGATTTTGTTCTTCATCTGTTGCATTTTAATATTCCCCTTGGTATTCCATCAGACTCAAAAGGTAACAACAGGCCTTTTATTTGGATCACGAGTATGCATCACCGCAACCTTCACCACCCTGTTCATATATGCTCCGGAGGTAAACGAATCGTCAAATCCTCATCTCATTGTTGGCGATGTTTGTAAGATTTCATTTGTTTTTTATTCTCGCTTTAACTTGCAGGTGTATCCGACCGCCGTAAGAACGACGGGTTTCGGATCAGCAAGCTCGATGGGAAGAATCGGTGGTATGATTTGTCCCTATGTTGCGGTAGCTTTGGTGCAGGGATGTCATCAAACAGCTGCCATTGGGATGTTTGAGGCTATAATACTTTTATCAGGGGTATGCATATTGCTCATACCCATAGAGACCAAGGGTCGAGAATTGACCGATGATGTTAAGCAAAAGCTCACTGCACCTGTTTAGTTAACTTAACTATCAAGGCTCCATCCGTTTTGTAAATGTTCATCAATATCCTTTTATTATCAAATAAAATAAATTCAGTTTATAGGCTCTTACTTCCACCCCAATTTACTTGTGACTATGACTGCTATTTGGGTATATATTTTTAAGAGAAAATAATCTCAGTGACTAAAAATGCCTTATAATATACGATTTTAACCAACTTTTTTTGGATTTGCCAAAATGACCAACTAAATCGCAATGCGATCGATAATTCGCAACGCGATCTCCGGTATCGCAAATCAGTTTCCAGATTCACAACGCAATTCTAACTACCGCATTGCGATTTCCCAAATTCGCGTTGCGATTTTCCTAATTCGCAATGCGAATACGTAAATCGCAACGCGAATTTGGAAAATCGCAACGCGAATTTGGAAAATCGCAATGCGAATACGTAAATCGCAATGCGATTTACATAGCGCTATTCGTATTAACGCGTATTTTTTTTTCAAATTCCAAACACGAATATATTAATATATCGGAACTCTGAACCGTCCTGTATATCCGTAATCGCAACTCATAACCTAAAACCCTAAACACAACTCTCGTCTCATCTCCATCTCTCACTCTCTAAGGCGACATTCGTCCATCTCTGACGAAATCAGTCCCCACGACGATAACAATCTCCATCTCCGCAAAAATCATTCACGGTCAGAAATGGAAAATCAACCAAATCAACCACGAGGTTAGTTTTTTTAATTATTTTTATTTTGAAATTTTTGCATTATTATTAGGTTTTCATATGAAATTGATGATAAGTTTACTGGTGTTTTCAATAATAGATTAACCATTTCACTTAGATTGCTTATTATATTCATTCGATTGCTTCCAATACTGCTAAACTGTTTAGTCTTTAACCCTGTGAAGTTAGTATTTGTCTTTGTTTTGTCTTTTGGTTGAAGTAATGCAATCCATTCAAGTTTCTTTCAATTTAGTATTTGAAACCAGAATGACTATCGCAACGAGTGAATCGCAACGCGAAAATGACTATCGCAATGCGAATTGACTATCGCAACGAGAGAATCGCAATGCGATTTTCATTTCGCATTGCGATTCTTGCGTTGCGGTAGTCATTTTCGTGTTGCGATTTCATTTCGTGTTGCGATTTAAAGTTTCAGAACTATTCTTCTTCTGCAAATTGAAACTTGAATGAATTGCATTACTTCAACCAAAAACAATACTAAATTCACAGTGTTGCAAATTTAAGTTTGAAGAATAAACTACTACTCTTTATGTTTATTGTTCATATCTTCATAGTGTAGTTTTTGGTATATCTAAATTGGTATGTTTATTGTTTTTGCAGAACTTTTATTCGGCTCAATTGACCTTAAGAAATAAAGTAAGCCTGGCCAAACAATTGCGTCGAAGTTTTCACCTGCACAAAGAAAATATTTGAGGATACTTGCTTCGGGCCATGGCTGAAAGTACAACATCTGGGTGGAGATGCTATGTTGACCCACTGTTTCTTCAAACCATGACTAGCGATCTACCAGAGACTATACAACGTCGTGATGAAGATATATGGTTTGATTTTCCACCGGCGTATACGTGTTTTGGGCGGGAAGAGTTTTGCTTAATCACCGGTCTACGCTTCGGACACGATGATGTAGATCGATACACTAGACATATTACCCACCTATCATGGTTTTCCCGGGTTTTTCCTGAGCAGTCAAAGAAGAATTCAAATTTACACGTGGAAGACTTGACGAGATTATTGAATAAGAAAATGGTTTTACTCGGATGGATGACGTCGGTTGTCCGAGTATGCCTTCTAATACTTTACAAGCCGGCTTTTTTAGGCAGAGAGGCCCGACAACCTATTCCTAATGATCTAATTAAATTGGTAGAGGACCTAAAGCTGGAACCTGTTTCCGTGGGGTTCGTATCTATGAGAGCTACATGGAATAAGTTGTCGCCTGCCTTTAATGATCAGAAAAGTTTGCGTGGCGATGGTTCCAAATACACTTTGTCAGCTTTATTTGGGCCTTTAAGGTAATAATTTTTATATAATGTTTCCAAAATTATAATTAATTCTTTAACAATTACTAATGTTTGTTATTATATTGTTTGTAGATTTGGATATTTGAGGCCTTTCCCGCCATGCAGACATATGTATTAAAAACTTCTAATGATATTCCTAGGGCTATTTCTTGGAAGAGGAAACGGTCCTTGCAGCAATGGGAAGATTTACTACCGTATACTACAATATAATGTAAGTTAACACAAATACTACCATATGTTTATAAACAAGTATTACTAGTACACTTTTAACTTTGTTTGAGCTTTTATTGTTAGGAGGCCAACACTCCATTACAGAGGCTGACACCCACGGAAACTGAGCTTGCCACTGATTGGTGGCAAGCTAGTAAGCTTTTTTTTGACGGCACAGATGATGAGCAGCCACCACTTCGAAAGGTATCACCTCACCCAGAGCCATCACCTGATCGACCCGAATATACACCTCCACAACGAGAGTCATCACCTATTCTGTCATATCATCGAGCCTCTTCTCCATCATCACCTCATGATAGGCGACCGGCAAAGATGCCACGACGTTTATCTCCCTGTTCTCCACCTCCACAGGATGAGTTACGGGAGTTACGTAATGAGGTCAATGCCTTGCGTGAGGAGGTCGGTACTTTACGCGATGACAATGGTGCATGGTGTGTTGAGGTGTCTACTTTACATGGTGAGGTAGCAGCTATACGTGAGATTGTAGCATCGTTGCAGAACAAGGTTCATACTCTACGCAATGAGGTAAGTTTAATATTTTTCATATTTAACTTGATGATAAATTTACTCGTAATTTCACTTAGATTGCTTAGTAAATTCATTCGGTTGCTGCCAATACTGTTTAACTATTTATTCTTTAACCCTGTGAAGTTAGTATTTGTTTTTGGTTGTCTTTTGGTTGAAGTAATGCAATCCATTCAAGTTTCAATTTGCAGAAGAAGAATAGTTTACTATCGCAATGCGAAAATGACTATCGCAACGCGAAAATGACTATCGCAACGAGAGAATCGCAATGCGAAAATGACTATCGCAATGCGAAAATGACTATCGCAATGCGAAAATGACTATCGCAATGCGAATTTGCCTATCGCAACGAAAGAATCGCAATGCGAAATGAAAATTGCATTGCGATAGTCAAATTCGCATTGCGATAGTCATTTTCGCGTTGCGATTTTGTTGTTGCGATTTTCATTTCGCATTGCGATTCTCTCGTTGCGATAGTCATTTGCAGATTCTATTCTTCTTCTGCAAATTGAAACTTGAATGAATTGCATTACTTCAACCAAAAGACAAATACTAACTTCACAGTGCTGAAAATTTAAGTTTCAAGAATAAACTACTACTCTTTATGTTGTCATTGAACCTGCACTAAACCTATATGTTGTCTTTTTAAATGTTTATATAAGTGTTTACTTCTGGAATGTTATATGATGCATTTTGTGAACAATGATATAATAATGACTTGGGTGAATACCGTGCAAGTTTGAAATATATTTGTCTTTGTTCTCACTATTTAATATCATGTCTGTTTATTTACTGATTTATGTATTAATTTATTTTTTAGCGGCCCGCTAAGGTGGATGCTCTACGCCGGGTTTTTCTTGCAAGACGGAGTTCACGCATCAGACGGCGTACACGTGCCATTACGTCTCCATTCACCCCAATAGTGCGAAGAATCCGTAAGAAAAAGGCCGACTCACCTGTCATCGTTCAAAAGGCCTCCCTTATCGTTCAAGAGGCCCCTATCATCCCTCAAGAGTCCCCTCCCACCGTTCAAGAGGCCACTGTCATTGTTGAAGAGGTCCCTCCCAACATTCTAGAGCCCGATTCACATGGCGTAATATATCAAATTATTGAGAAGCCCCCTTACGTGCCGGACATGATGGATGACTGTTGGCTTTCGTATAAGTTACCGGCCAGTACCATTCCGGCAGATGAAGTGGAGAGGAAACAACTACCAGAAACAATTCTGGATAATACCCTTTGGGCTAAGACCGCAGTTGATTTTTATCTAAATGAGCGGAGCCAAGGGTGTTACGCTGACATATACAAACTCAACGATGATATGCATTTGTTGATTGAACGGTCTTGGTGGGGTGTATTATTAGGGGTTGAAGACAACGACTATTTCGATGGGGGTAAGTCTTATATTTCTTATATTTCAGTTTGATTAATTTTTTTTAAAATTTATGTAATTCACTAATATATGTATTTTTTTGTAAAACAACATATTGATGCATGGATGACACGTCTTCTAATTGTAAGGAAATTAAAGAAAAATATTAAACAAACGCGATATACAATTATGTCGACGTCTTTTCACGTAGTTCACTTGAAGAATCAACGACAGGAATCATATGTGTTGGCTAATGGACAAGCTAAACTTTATCCTGCATAGTGGGAGGTCGATAAGGTTAGTATATTTGTTTAAATATTTTAAAGGTGTTCATAAATAAGTGCGTAATTTGAATTATTACATTTCGATGCAGGTGTTTATCCCTGTTTTGGACCGTACTCATTGGCTTCTCGTCGAACTTCAGCTCCCATCCCTAAAGACAATAGTATATGACAACATTATAAATTACATATCATTATCTGATTTGAGAGATATGATTAAGGGATGGAGCTCTCATTTGGCTAAATTCTTAGATGCAATTGATTATTGGACTAAGTCTGGAAACAAGAAGCCAAAGAAGTTCAATGTTACAGTTATCAGAGACGAGACCGCGCCACAACAAACGAAGGAAGCCAGAGGGGATTGTGGTCCTCTCGTAGCATGTGCTTGGAGCGTTTGATGACATGAAGTACATATTTTCTACCTCCCACCGATAGAGATAGAGGTGTAGTAGGCTTGTGGTTTTGGCATTTTATGGCTAGAGCGATATATGCGAGACGCTGCCTACCTGCATCCGCGTTATGGAAGTGTCCATAAACAATTTGTAAGTCAAATACAAGTGTTGTTAAACAT